GCAGGGGGAGTGGGAGAGGGAGAAGCAGGCTCCCCGCTAAGCTGGGAGCCTGACGTGGGGCTCAATCCCAAGACCTGGAGATCACGACCTGAACCGAAGGCAGGTGCTCCACCATCTGAGCCACCCAGGCGCCCCAATAAATAAAATATTAAAAAAAAAAAAAAAACCCAAAACAGTGGTCTTCCTCACCTTGGCCAAGAACAAGTAATTGGACTTAGAAAAACCAGGGTGTAGTTCTTCAACCTGATTTTAAGAGAAAACAGAAAAGAGAATAATGGGACAATATTAAAACAACCACCACCACCACCAATAAAAAGGACATATTTCAATAAATCAAATACTAACCAAATTGTCCTAAAAATTTAGGTTGATTGTGTTACATCAGAATCATTTTATCCGTTCAAGTATCCTCTGAGTGGAAATAGAACTTTTGAGATTATCTATTAAAATCAAGTTATTATTATGTTCATAAAGCTTACGAAACAATGCGATGCTTTGAGATTTCGGGATTCCTTTGTACAACCTATCCTTTCTCTTTTTTTCCTTTCAAGAACAAAAACAATTGGTGATACATCTCCCAGGATAAGTCCTATCCAATTCACAATCTATTTAGGAAATGAGGAGAGGATGACTGGTATCCCATGACAAGCATCCTCCACTGCATTAATATTTGATTTCTTAGGATTTCAACACATCCCATGAATTGAATCATATCCGAAGTCCATTGCATCAAGTGTTTTTAAAGCAAATACTGACCCGTGAAACAACCAGTCCAAGTAGCAGACCTACTTGCAGATTTTAATAAGTGGGTATTATGCAGGCACTTTACTCCTCATCTACTAAACTCTTATGCATCAGTTCCCTTTCTATATCTCTGGTGAATAAGAATTTTTTTCAGGCATCTGGCATTGCTACTAGAAAGCACTTCTTAGAACCTAAGTCAATCTTCGGTCAGAGTCATCTTCTGCAGTTGTAAGGGCCTATGCAAATATAAGCTCCCAGTCTGACCCCAGAACCCAACCCAGAGAGATGCAGAACCCAAGAGAAGAAGGCTACTTTAAAAAATTTACAAAGATATGTTTATTTTACAAGGTACAAATAATACGGACATTTCCAAAATTAAAAAGTGATAGTTTCTTTGTTCTAATTTTATTTTCGATTTCAATCTCATTCTCCAGGGGTAAGCACGATCAATGGTTTGACATGCATCCCACCAGACCTTTAACAAGTATACACAAATAAAAAAAAATTCGCTTTTGAAAAAAAAATTAATATGGGACCATTTCTACATATTGGTCCAAAACTTTTTTTCCCACAACACACCACAGATACATTTTTGCGTTAGCATACACAGATCTACCTCATTGTTCTTAAGAGCTTATTTCATACTGCACAGATGCCATAATTAAATTAAGAATTCTCTATTAGACATTTTTTTACTCTTACTAATAATGGCTGATGAATATATTTGCTCCTATATGCTTGTGCACGTGTGATTATGTCTGTAGAAGAGATTCCTAGAAGTTGAATTGCTGAGTAAAAGGATACATACATTTTAAAGATGGATACTAATGGAGGGAAATCTAAGACCTAGGCACTCCTGTGCTGAGGAGTGCACATCTTTGGTAAAGGACATTTACTCTCTATAAAATCCAAAGGCAAAGGTCCTAGGAGGAGGAGGAGAAGAAAGTCTCTTGGGCTGGGGAGCCAGACTGGGTGTAACTCTTTAGGACCAAATAGATGAACACTGTGTGGATCTGGCCAAGAACCTGTTAGTGAGACTGCAAGGCTGCCAACAGATGGAAGGACATTGTCAAGTCCAGTCCTAGCCAGAGCCTTGAAAAGCCTAGAGAGCCATCCACAGTGCTGATGGATTCTGGTTTTGTTGCTTCTCTCTTGTCCAGTTATTTCCATCTCAACTGTTTCAGTCTACTAAGTGCATTTCTCAAATCACTCTAATAAGGAAGACCTCAATTAAACTTTGTTCAATTGTACCTTCTTCTATGTCCAACAGTTGCCCAGTTCTTTTCAAACCCTGTCTGGAAAACTTGCTGAGCACAAGCAGCCTCTTATTTTTTTAAAGTTGGCATTTTAATTCTGTATACACACCTTAGCACTTATGTTTAATTAACTATAATAACTATAAATTAGAATATCTCCTTTTGTGCTCATGGTTAAAAAAAAGAAGAAGCCAAAGGAACATAGGCTACTCACAATACCAACTTCCTAAAATGGAGCAGATTCTGACTTTTTACCAAAGGGCTTACCTAAATAACAAGGAAGGTAGTGTTGCTCAGTAGAATGTTCTAGTTAGGCAGCAGTTTCTAGCTAGGCTCTTAGAACACTCTATAATAATACAGGGTGGAGAATATTGTAGTTGTTAACTTGGTCATGGCTGTACAAGTTCCCTGGAGGCAGGAGCTGTGTTGACCATTTCTGTATTCCCTGTATTTGACACTGTGTTACCAGGTATGTGCTTAATAAACATTACTGAATAAATTAGCATTGTTTTAAGAACATCTCATAACCTCAAGCAGCAGCCCTCCATCATATCAGGACATAGATGAAGGCTCTGCAGGTGGTAAAACCACTAAGGGGGATCCAGGGATCATATGTTGCAAACAGCGGGGGGACACCAGGGCCACCGATCTCCCAACATTGCTACACCTGTTATCCTACTACACACACTCAAGGCACTGGGCTCTCTATCATGCCATTGGCTGCACAGGAAGAGCTTTGAGAGCTTTAAAAATGCTGATCAAGCTTTTAAAATACTTCCCTTATGACCCAAGTCCATTCCCAGGTAACTTACCGAAGAAAATTTACAACATGTCTACATAAAAGCTTGCATATGAATGTTCATAGAAGCTTTATTCATAATAACTCCAATAGCCCACTGGACACAACTCTAATGTCTACCAATAGGCAAATGCATAAGTAGACTGCGGTATATCCATGAAATGGAATATTACTAGGCAGTAAAAAGGAATTGCTGATACACCGATAAAATGAGTGAATCTCAAAACATTGCATTGAGCAAAGGAAGCCAGATACACACAAAATACAAGCTCTATGATCCCATTTATATAAAATTATAGAATAGGCTAAACTAATCTATAGTGACAGAAAGCAGATCAGTGGTTGCCAGGGGCAGAAGGTGAGGGAAATTGACAGCAAAGGGGCAAAGATAACTCTTGAGGGTGATGGAAATGTTCTATATCTTAAAATGGTGGTGGTTACATGAGTATATAAATTTGTCAAACTTCAGTGAACTGTATCCTTAAAATGGGTGCATTTTATTGTATATAAACTATACCTTAATATATTTAAAGATTCTGAAATAATTAGTCTGGGTGGTGGCCAGGGCTGGCATTTTTTAAAGCTCTCCAGATGATGCTAATGTATACCCAAAGTTGAGAACCATTGCCGGAGGGAATCATGCCAGAATTTTGGATGAGGTGGGAAGCATACAATAGTTTGAAAGAATTCCCACAGGGGATTCACAGATGACTCCTGTCTAAAACCACATTCCCAGATGCTGTGATGCTGTGGAGGATCAGATTTCACCAGTTATAAGAGCAAAATAATAGCAGCTAACATCTACTTTTAGTTAGAGTACTTTATGTGCTAGGCCCTGGGCTAAGAAAATTACATGTATTATTTTATGTATCTTCACAAAAACCATATAAAGTAGGTATTATTATGCCTGCTTTACAGATGAAGAATTTAAGATTAGGAGAAATAAAGAAACATGGCTAGGTCATATAGACAGCAAAAGGCTCAGGTCTCAAACTGATTCTAAAGCCAGTGCTCTGGATCACTACAGAACTGAGCTGGATGGCCTGGGGACACATTCCTGGCCCCTGTGAACACTCTTTGGAGGGAAAGAGTTGGAGACAGGAGTCGGGTCCAAAACCACAACCTCCTGCTGGGACCAAGGGTTGCAGACTCCCCTTGAGTGTGGGAGCCAAGTTCCTTCCCCTCCACCTCCCAGTTTTCTTATGTACTCCCCAGCCTTCGCCCTTAGCACCCTGGGCTCCTAAGGACTCTTAGCTGTGGCAGTCAGTACAGGGGGAGGCTTTCTTGATGCCTTCTCACTCCCTCAACAAACACCACAAAATGCATTTTCAGACAGAATCTAAGTCATGCTGAATGGAGAGGTCCCCAAGATGGTTTGCCAGCATGTTTACAATTTAATGGAGTTAAAATTCTGTGAGCTTTTATTGAGCTTACTAGGTGATGGGCACTCACTAAGCAATTTCCTTGTATTAACTTATTGAATCTTGACAACACTATGAGTCAGGTACTATTATCTCCATGTCATTGATTAAATTGAGAGAGAGGTTAAGAAACTTGTCCTGTCCAACGCTTTAACACCC